TACAGGAGCCGGGGAGCGTGCGCGCGCCTGCGTCCTAGGCCTAGGGAGGTGCGTTGGCACGTGCTGCGTGTGTGTACGTGAGACACGGACGTCCTGCGAGGGGAAGGGGGCGGAGACCTGGGAGCCAATGAGCACGCTACTAGGGTGGCTGGCCCGAACTGCAGGAACTACAAGTCCCGACAAGCAATCTTCCGGAAGCCCTTTATCCTAGTGTGGAAGTTTGAGCTAGACGCCGTGGGAAGCAGTCCTAACTCGTCTCAGGAAAGTACTGGTCATTTTCGATTGGTGGCGGGGAAGATGAAAGTGAGACGGGTGACATAGCCGGCCCCAGGTGGAGTCTCTCAAGGCCTATAGCTGCTGCTAGGTGCTTCAGAAATTCCTTTCATCGGAATTCCACATCTTTTGTTCCTTATTTTCCTTAGTTTTCCTCTCTTGTAACATGGAAGTGGTATTTTTACTTAGTCCCCGTAGCAACAACCATTGGATGATAGCTCTTTGTTTTTTCAAGCAAGTGCTGATAACTTGCAGCTGTTGCTAGTGCCCGGCTGCTTTACAATCTTATGACAGTTCCCTTACGCCTGCCCACACCATGGTAAATCATTACTTCATTAACTCTCTCAGTCCTCTGTCTGCATGGCTGGTTCCTCTCTGGACAGCTGAAACAGAGTGACCCTACAAGGTGGAAGAATGTGACAAAATTAATCAGACTCTTTCCCCATCTGAGTTGGCGCCAGACTATTTACTTTGTGAATTAAGATTCTGATTAACATGGAAGCCCAGAGAAATTCCCAAGTGAGTTTGGATGCTTCTACTTGAGTCTGGAGGGAGTCGGGCAAGCTACAGTCAAGACTAGGCCACATAAGTGTGTTAGCCCTCATAAGTCCTGGATCAGAGAAGAGTGGCTTCTAGTTCAGTGGGTCTGACCCCCTGAACCTGTCTCCAAGGTCCCCTTTTCTCTGGCTTCCCAGTAAGCCAGTGCAGCCCAGCCAAGGCTCTCCTGTTGCTGCTTCTATGCCCTTCCTTGTTTCATTGTCCTAAGTATATTCTTGCTGTGATCAACAAATTCTTGATTTCTTTTTTACACTTTGCCTTTTGATTGAACTCTTTCCCGCAAGAAGACAAGAATGGAGATCTTGTCATCTCCCTGGTAACAATCCCACCCTACCTTCTATTTCAATTATATGCACATTTCCTTCTTATATAAATAAAGAGGGTGTTTGCTAAAATCTATAGATTGCTATAAGGCAAACTGAGTAAAAGCTTAGTGAAGTCAAGGCCCATCTGGGGGCATTCTATGTAGCTTTCCCTTTGTTTCTAAGAACTTGACTTCTCATTCAGTCAGTCAATAACAATTTATTGAACACCAATTAGATGCTGAACACTGAGAAAATAACATTGAACAACAAAAAAATGTTTCCCTCATGGAGCTTCCATTCTAGTGGGGAAATATAAGAGAGTAAGTAAAAAACATATATGCCACTAGTATGATGACATATGAATATCCTTATATTGTTGTGTAATATATCCTTATATTACTCCCAGGGCAAATGAGCATTTCATTTTATTTATGGGCTGATGTTTTCTGTGTTTTGCCTGTATCCCAACGGGACTATGAGCTTTTTGAAGGCAGATATTTTATTACATACTTGGGCTGAATACACAGTAGAAATTCAGAAGTACTTGATTAAGTACTTATCTTGCAACAATACTTTTGTTTAGCAGAAACCTGGAATGGGGTCTTCAGAAAATCTGACATACGATCAGAGTAAATTATAAATGACAAAGAGGTGAGTGTTAATAGACACAAATTCTACAAATTTATACAATGGTTAATCCAACTGACTGACTGTCCCAGAAGGAATTCCCAGTAGATTCTTGATTAGCAAGAGTGTAGACTTTGCCCTAGAAAATACAAAACAAAGGGAGCTGTACACAACTGTTTAACTTTTTCTCAGTAATGTGAACAAGGGTCATGTGGCTTTGGCATCAGACTGGTGATGGTTTCATCACACAGGCAATGTGATTTTGGTAGTTTCAATGCATCGCCCCAGCTGTGTGCTCTGTGCGTCAGAATATACCTGGATTCTTTGGATCAGCACCCAACAAGCATGGATTGGGACACTAACTTTGTACTGGGCTCTTTGTTCATGTAAGTCTTATAGTTGTGTTCAAATTGGGGAACTTGTGCCATTTGGTATTTGAGCACAGAGAACTGTTAAGTTTAAATAAAATAACATCTGTATTGCAAAGGGGTTGAATGTAAAAGATCATTCTTTAGGAGCCATGTGGCTATTTGACAGAGAAGCACATTCCTTTTTACAAGTGTGTATTCCCTGACCTGAAATTCACAGGTTGGGACACTGTCCTTGCTCCAGGGGGTAGCTAGGTAGCCATGAGATGGAGCAGAGCTTGGCATCTGGGTAAAGAGCAAAGAGGTTCCAGAGGCACACTTGATCCCTTCTCTCTCACTTGGCACTTCATGGATAACCTCTGGCCAGGTTCCTATCAGGCCATCCCACAAGTTCTGGATATGGAAACAGCCATTTGAGATTCTCCCTGTGATAAAAGTGTTCCTCGATCAGAAGAATGATAGCAAATACCTGTGGTCACATCTTATCAGCTCTTTGGAATAAAATATTTCCACATCACACCTACTCTCAGCTCTTTTCTGACAGGTTAATGATTTAAAAAGAAAGTCAATTACAATTTTCCACCTCAAGTAGTTTCCAGGAGCTGACTCCGTATCTTGAGTTATTTACCTTTTGTGAACAACATAGCTGAAGACACATCTCTCCATGTCTCCATTTTACATAAGTCTTTTTTTTTTCTTTTTTTCTTTTAATACTTGATTTTACCTCCCAAGATTGTGGACATTATGAGTTGCTAAGTGAAAAATATTTTATTCGTTAGAGTCAGGGAGTCATTCAATTTAGCACTGGATTTTTCAGATAAGGAAACAGGCATATAAAAAAGCAGGGGCTTGACCAAGGTCACATAATTAGTCAGAAATAGAGAAATGGGCAAAACTGCGTTTCTCAGTATTTTCTTTGTTAACCTAAAACTCCTTCTGATAAACTTAAAAATCTTACCTCTCCACCAGAGATTCTGGTGCAGCCTCTCAGCCATCATTCTGCTGGGAAGCACTGTACCTTCTGAATAAAGACATTTCTTTTTTATGCCTGAACACTGATCCTTCAGATAAGCAGACACTGGTGCTGCCAGGCATGTAACAGGAACTCAACATTTATATTTTAAAAGATGAAGACTGAAAAAGGAGGCTTATGTCTATAGGTAGTATGAGACTCAATAATACAACATTGTGTAGGACTATACTGAGTGCTTTCACTCTGTTATCATCTGATTCTCACAGCAAGTGAGGCATTATCTGCATTCCAGTTTTGCAGCTGAGAAAATCAAGACACAAAGTGTTTAAGTGACTTCCCCAAGGTCACACAGCAGAACCAGGACTCACACCCTAATCACTACTGTTTTCATTACTGCCCTGTATCCTCCAAAAGCTGGTAAGATTTTAAGGGTTTGTAGAATCTCCACTCCATACCCATAAATAGCTCATATCAGGGGCTAAAAAGCTGCCATTCCTTTAAGGCAGTAGCCCCTTCCCTCCTCCCCCCATTTTTCCTTAAGAATTACCTGAGTTTGTTAAAATATACTTAGGCCCCTCCACTAAAAGTGTTGATAAAATAGTCTGGAGTGGGCTCAGGAATCTATTTTTTAGTGCTAGAATACTAGAATCAGAAGATGCTAAGGTGTATTTGTAGAAATTAGTAAGGTGAATTTCCACTTTGATGGTAGAAGCCTATGCCTTTATTTCTAAAGGTCTCTTTTTTAGACTCCCTCGAATTGCCACCACTTTCTCCCTCAGGGAGTCACTGCTGAGCCTTGGTATTGCAGAGAGACTGAGGGGGTCTACTGCAGGGTGCTCTCCATCCTCCTGGGCCTGTCCTTGTGACTTCAGATAGCACAAGCCCTGTCTCATCTTCAATTAGAGGACAGTCCTTCATCCTGATGTTCAGGGAGATGGCCAGCAGATGGCTCTAACCCACCATGGCTTCCCTCTTTGACTGGGGGG